GACTCTGTGTCATTGAAATATTAATTGTACGTCCTGCCTTTGTTTCCTTTGTTCTCAGAATACCTGTTTTATGCCATGTAGCCTCCCTCAAATTGGTATAAAATTCCTGTAAAAACTAAAGACTGGTGCCACTCTCTTGTACTGCTTTTATGCGGGCAGAGGTGGTCGCTGGCCAGCTAATAAAGACTCTCAATTTGGCTCCATTAAATTCTCTCGTGGTCTGTTCGCGCCCTCCACACTACAACAAAATTCATCTTTTTTAAGTGTACAATTGAGTATTTTGAATATATTCACAAAGTTGTGAAACCATCACCACTATCTTATTCCAGAACATTTTCACCAGCACGAAAAGAAAGCTCATACCCATCCGCAGTCACTCCTCATTTCCCCCTCTTCTCAGCTCCTGGCAACCAGTAATCTGCTTTCTGTCTCTAGGGCTTTCCCTATTCTGGAAATTTCATATAAATGGAATCATACAATATGCAGCATTCTGCGTCAGGCTTAGCATGTTTTCACCTAGTGTGATGTTTTTAAGGTTTGTCCGTGTCACAGCATATATGAGCATACAGGCAGTCCCGGCCCATTGTGGTTTTGATTTGTATTTCTCTAATGGTTAGTGATGTTGAACATCTTTTTCATGTGATTATTGGCCACTTGTATAACTTCTTTGGAGAAATGTCTATTCTAGTCTGTGGTATAATAAATATATTTTGGGCCAGGTGCGGTGGCTCACGCCTGTAATCCTAGTACTCTGGGAGGCCGAGGCGGGTGGATCGCTCAGGGTCAGGAGTTCGAGACCAGCCTGAGCAAGAGCGAGACCCCCGTCTCTACTAAAAATAGAAAGAAATCTGGACAACTAAAAATATATATATAGAAAAAACTAGCCGGGTGTGGTGGCGCATGCCTGTAGTCCCAGCTACTTGGGAGGCTGAGGCAGGAGGATCGCTTGAGCCCAGGAGTTTGAGGTTGCTGTGAGCTAGGCTGATGCCATGGCACTCTAGCCAGGGCAACAGAGCCAGACTCTGTTTTAAAAAAATAAAAAATAAAAAATAAAATAAATAAATATATTTCGTCTTAGTCCCCAGTTCCTGATGGAATTCCTAAAACTCTTGGAATTTCCCAAGTGATAGGAGTCTTTTGTTATTCATAACAACCTCCTTTAGATCACACCTGAGTTTATGCTAATGGGGTGACTTAGGGTGGGGCCTTAGATAGTCTCAGGATGGGGCTGGTCACCAGAAAGACCAAGCGATTGGAGGATTGGAACTTTCAGCCCCACCTCTGACTTCCTATAGTTGACATCCAATTGTTGAGCAGCTCACAGCCAGCCTCCCACCAGATGAGCCAGGGTGCCATCTGCTCAGGGCAGGGGTGGCCAACATCACGCCCTGCCCCACGACACCACAGGCACCACAGGCAGGCATGTCCAACCATTCCTGAGTGCCCAGGATCTGGCCAGAATAGTCACAGGGTATAAGCAGGAAGACCAAGAACCTGTCCTGGGGAGGCGGCAAGAGGCAGCACTGTGCCTGAACCAAGGCTCCAAGTCCCCAGTCCCCTAGTGCATGCCCCATTGTCCCATCTGACTTCACCAACAAAACACTAACTCAAACAAGATTATTAAGAATTTCAAGATGTAGTGGGATGCGGGGGGTAAACCCACAACTAAAGGACACGGGGAGCATTGTAGAGGGGAAGGGCATGCCTCTAACCCTCACTTGGGTGAGGGAAAGACATAAAATGTAACTAAAATGTTTGTACTCTCATAATACCCTGAAATAAAAAAAAAAAAAGAATTTCAAGATGGCAACCACAGAGCATTAAAGTCCAAGTACAGGGCCCTGTGCAACCACACTTTTATGTTTCTCATTCAATTTTGTGGTTTTACTCATATAAATCCCAAAAGCTCTTATTATTTCTAAGTGATTTATTTTTGTTTCTATTGTAAATAAAACTTTTCCCCATTAAATTTTGACAACCCAGAAATAAGTGACTGAGGCCAAGATCTCAGTCAATGGAGGTTTATTAAGCCAAAGTTTGAGGACACGCCCCGCAAAAACACAAAGCACAGACGCATCTGTGGCAGTTTTTTCCCAAGACGGATTTGGAAACGGGGAGCGGGTACACAGAAAGAAAAAGGAGGAGGGGGTGGGCAGTGAGACAAATGGTTACATTCTTATGAGGCCCAGGAAATCTACATTTTACATGAGATATGGTGAATATTTGAAGAGAAAAGGGGAGTGAAGGAAGAATTAATTACATAGATGTCCCTGGGTAAGTGGAAGCCTGGTCCATCTCGTCTCTGCTCTGCATCTGGGAAGATAAACTTGTAATCCACATTATTAGTGTGGAATTGAAGTTTTAGGAGCTAGACTTAGCCTGCAGGCCCTAAGTTACAACGTGCATGTCCTTGTTTACAGGAGGCCAGCAAGGAATTTCCTTGTGAAGCATCTGTGGGGATCGTCCTCGTAGATGCCTAGAGGCCTTCTACCTTTCCTTGGGGATCTGGCTGATGCACAGAGTTAGTAAGAGCTATTCATTTGAAAGGGGTGTTGCGTGACTCAGCTACCAGGCTTGACCTTTGCTTTTGTATCTGGAGTTGGGGAGGGTGGTCCTGAGATTTTTATTTTCCATTACAATTTGGTAACTGGTCAGTAATGATACATGTGAAAGTCACTTTGTATAGTTGTTTATAGCTATCTTAGCGTTTCATCTCTCATCATTTTAGTGAGATGAAGTGCTAAAATTTAATAGTTTTAGTATCAATTCTCTTAGGTTTTGCACATAATAAAATTATTTACAAATAACAGCTATCACTTGTTCTAAGTCATTTAATCCAGACAACCCCTTGAAGCAAGTAGTATCCCTGTTTCACAGTTGAGTATCTGAAACATGAGACCTGCCTAAGGCCAAAGAGCTAGTAAGAGGTGGAATCAAAATTCAAAACCAAGCCCAAGCCTTCTAGCTCCAGAGTTCATGTCCTCACCAACAGACTCTCTGTATTGATTAGATTAATTCCTTTTCCCTTTACCTTTATTTCTGTTTGAAGACTTAGTACCTTGGATAGAACTTCTGGAACAATGTTAATTGTTGTGATAGCAAATATTCTTGTCTTGTTCTTAATTTTAACCGGAAATTGTCTCTAATGCTTCATTTTTAAGTATGATGATGGCTAGACATTAAAAAGGAAACCTTTGTCACCTGAGAATATTGGTAGTAATGCACATTCTTTCAATAAAGAACCAAAAATCAATCTATTTGGAAAAGGGATGGATTGTGAAACTTTATTAATAAGGACTTCTGTTCCAAAGGTTTATTCCAATCACATTTACAGTACATAAAATACCAACACTTTCTTGTTAAGAATACAGAAACTCTAGCCATTGTATTGATGCTGACTTAAATAAAAGCCTCTACATAAGGCAAGAGTCCATATCTGAAGAATTCGACCAATATGAGATATCTACAAAAAATCAGTTCAACAAACTCCTTTAAAGATATGTAAGAAGCCCAAGGAAGTTAGTTTTTGTGGGAGGCTAATATGCACATTTTATTTAACAAACATAATGTACAACTAAGAAAACTGTGTATTCCCAGGAGAATCAAGACTATGTGTATACCTGGATTAGCACCTAGAAAGTATGTAGAAAAATAAAAAAGAAGGGGAAAGCTTTCTACTAAAATCCTTTGGGCCTAGGTTATTGTAAGAGAAGATTCTCACCGGCATTTGATGGTAACTCATTACCTTGCATGTGAGCTTGGTGACCAGCTGACTCGATTAACTGCTTTGTGTCTTCAGTGCTTTAAGATATTAGATGTGTCAAGCTTGATAGATTTTATATGTAAATTTAAATAAAAGATTATTGGAAAAACAAGAGAACATTTCTCAACTGCTTGTGTGAAATGACACTGTTCACAAATGGTGCCCTGGGGAATCACTCACAATTTCACAAGTACACTTGTATAATCTGTAGAAGTCACTGATTGGAAGAAGAATCATCGATGGTATATTTAGGTTGTGAGAGGATCCATTAGGATTAGAAAAGGTTCTACAATGCAGGTAGAGTCTCACTGAATGAGATACTTTACTCACAAGTTAACATTATACTGTGCGTTTAATGCAATATTCTTTGGTTACATCGTATTAACCACTAGAAGGATAACTCCCTATCTTACAAAAGACATCAGTGGTTCTTAACTGGGGGTGATTCTGCCCCCACGAGACATTTCGCAATGTCTGGAGATCATTTTTCACAGCCGAGGGGGGTGCTACTGATATCTAGTGGGTACAAAGGGCAGGAGCGCTGCTAAACACCCTACAATGCACAGGGCAGTCCCCCACCCCGCAACAGAAAATTCTCAGGCCACTAATGTCAATAGTACCAAGACTGAAAAACCCTGAAAGAGGTTTACATAACAGTATCTGGGCTGCCCATACAGTCGAAAGTACACGATGGAGGCTGTACGGCACTTCTTGCACGTTACAGCTCTGAGGGACTCCCTATCAGCCGTCGCTGCCAGAGTCCCGTTCGTTCCCCTGTCTTCCATCCCAGACCCAGGGCCAGCTTCTTCTCATCAAAGAACTCCACAAAGACTCCCTGAATCAATGCAGGAACGAGATGCCAGAGCATGGCTTCAAAGTCTCCCACTGACTTTACTGAACAGCAACTTTAAGTGACCTAAAAATTATTCCGAACCTTAACCGTGTTGCGGTCTCTGACTATACGGGACCTCAAAGTTAGGGCTAGGGCATTGTTAATAATGGAGCCCACATTTTAAGGGCAGTATGTCTAACACTTTAGATTCATTTAATGGGGCAAACCAAACGGTGCTAAAGGCAAACATTCAATGTACTTCATTTTAAACTAAAAAAATAAAATAAAATAAAATGCCATGCACAGCAGACACCATTCCTTTTTTTTTTTTTTACATATTTACAATTTTACATATTTACTTATCAATATATCTTCTATCTTTATAATTATAAAATTAATTCAAACTGTGGAACAGTGGTACCATTGAATTCCCTTAAACATACACTTTGTAGCATTCATTCGTTTTATCCTTTAAAAGGCAATTATTTACCCAAAACCAAACCATAGTCAATGCCACAGAGGAAGCACACAGGAAAATCATGGAGGAAAAAATGATTTAAACAACTTTTTACACAAGCCTTAAATGAATCTATTTCAGTAACTCAAATAAATAGTATTTTATTATTAACTAAGCTTCCCCTGCCAGGAATAACAAAACAATCCCCACAAACTGTACCTTTAAAAATGATCTGACATCTGTAAGCAATTAAGTTATATTCCAGATCCCAATCAGTGGACTGCAGTAAGGGCTACCTACAATTTAGGCTCAAATAAATACTATCCATGTAAATTTTTATCATCCTGCATAAACTTGAGGTTGCAACGGTGGAGGAAGTTTATCATTTTCAACATTTTCAGAGTCAATAGCTGCTAGTGGTTGATTTGGGGGCTTAATTTCAAGTGGATATTTCTCGACAATGTCTTGAACTTCTTTTGCGATTCCATCTGTCCAATCTATTAGGTCTTTTTCAAGTTTCTTGGCTTCATTCATGATCCTTTCCTGTCGCTCATTCAATTGAGACAGCAGATCCAAGTTCTTGTACATTTGCTTAACACCTAAGCAAGCATCAGGAGCCCAACTCTCAGATTCTTGCTTCCTGGGAGAGGTCTGGCCAGACATGTAGCGGTCGAAATCCTCCTGATTTAAATTCAAAGACTGGGCATCTAATTTCTCGATGAAGGCCACAGCGCAGCACTACAGAAAGAGGAGAATGTTAATATAGTCATATTAGGAAAGCTACAAATATTCAAGTAGATTTTTAAGAATCTTTTTATTATATAGAATTAGAAAGAAGCAGAAGTAGACAGAACAGACTAATGAACTTCCACGTACTTCAGCCTCAAAAATCAGCAACTCATTGCCAATCGTGTTTCCTTTATACTCCCAGGAGCCCAGGGCCACTGTCTGGGGTGCAGCCTGCCCAGGAGCACCACAAAGACACTCCCTGCAGAGGTCTTGTGAGACACACCAGCCCCCCTCAGGACACAGCCAGACAGTGGGTGTGGGTCCTCTAGGTACCGGTGTGGCACACATACCTCTGGTCCTCAAAGAGACTATTAATGTCAAGTAGTTAAAAGAAAAGCTTTGAAATCAGGCAACCTGAGCTATCTATCACCTCTGTCACTTAACAGCAACAGTGTTGAGACCCTGGGAAAGTCACTTAAGATCTCTGAGGTTTCTGCATCTGTAAAATGGGGGAAATACCACCCAAATTTATTGTGAGAATTAAGCAACATAACACATGTAACATGCTTAGCTGACAGGTCTGTAGTGAGCAATGAGTAAACGGCAGCAATCATTAGTGTAGAAATGCTAGGGCAAATTAAATAGACATCTGCTAATGACACTTTAGTATATTGACTAAATTTTTCTACAAGGAGCACATATCACTTTCACATTAAAAAAACTATTTTCACAAGAAAAACATGCAAGGTAAGTGGGAACACAGGTAGCTCTCAGAATTTCTTCTGAGAAAGTCATTCACAGTATCCTACCATATTACTCATAAAAAAAAATCATCTCTCTAAGGAATATTTGGCAAATGTATTACAATTAATTCATCCAAGGAAAAGAGAAGAGCATGCCCATTTGGCTCACAGAGTGTGTGTGGAATCACTGTGGCCCCTCTGTTACCCGGAGAGAGGAGATGATTCTAACACTCCTGGCATAGTGAGTGGATATATGGCATTGCCACTAACAGGAATAGGGAATATTAGAAAACAAACAAACATATGATGGAGAAGCAGTTTCCATTTTGAATAAATTATATTTGAGATGCAATAAATATGTGTAATAAACGTGTGAGGTCAAGACAGGTGACACAGATCTGTGGGTGAACACCGTGCAGGTGACTAACAGAGCTCTGTGACCAGAGGAACCAATGCAGGGAGAGACAAACACAGAGGACAGAACCCCTGGGAATGACACAACTCAAGGGGGAAGCAGAGAGTTTACAAAGGGACAAGGCAGAAGTGGAACTGTGGAAGCAAGGAACGAATGAAGTTCCCAAACAAAGGAATAATCAAGAGTGTTAAGAGAAGTGAAGTAAGATGAACACTGAGAGCTCCCACGGCATTCGGCAACTGGCAGATTTTTTTTTTTCCTTTTGCCAGAACGGTTTCATTGGAGTGGTAGAAGCAGAAGCCAGACTCCGAGTCAGGCAGGCAGAGGATGAAGAATGAAGGCACGAATGTAGTTAAGGCTGTAGGTCAAAGGTGCCAAGAGGCTGTGAAGTTTAGGTGAACTAGCTGCCTCTACTGTTGACAACTCTGGCTACCCTCTGACACTTCCTGTCATCCTTCATTTTGCCTATTCCCTACCATGTGTCCATCTCCACACTTCTCAGGGACTTCCAGATTGCCTGACCCTCTCTGGATAAAAAACTGAATCCAAAAGGCTCTTCCCTAGCAAGTGCATGTTTGTGATATTGCGAAATGTATATCTGGTCTTCGTCCCTGTTTCCTGGCATACAACCCCTAAAATCCTTGTCTTTTTGTGTGCCAATGGCGACTGAGAGCTTCAGGATGGGGCTGTTGATAAAGCCATGATTAGAAGGTTGGGACTTTCAGCCCCACCTCCCAACCTCTGGGGAGTGGAGAAGGGGCTGAAGGTCAAGTTCACCACCCATGGCCAATGGTATAATCAATCATGCCTGTGCAATGAAGCGTCCATAAAAACCTACAAAGACAGGGTTCAGAAAGCTTCCGGATAGCTGAACACACGGAGGTTCCTGGAGGGTGGCGCGCCCGGGGAGGCCATGGAGATGCCACACTCCTTTCCCATACCCTGTCCCATGCATCTCTTCATGTGTATCCTTTGTAATATGTTTTACAATAACCTGGCAATCGTGTTTCCCTGAGTTCTGTGAGCCACTCCAGCAAATTAATCAAACCCAAAGAGTGGGTTGTGGGAACCCCAACTTGAAGTTGGTTGCTCAGAAGTTCGCCTGGACTTGTGACTGGTGTCCGAGGGAGGGCAGAAAACCAAGCACAGAAGGTGCCCTGGGGCTCAGAATTCATTAGCTCCATAGTAAATCTAGTCTACAGCAGACAATCATAAGTTCAGCAGTCAGAAAAAGGAATTATTTGGCCTTCAATTACCACTGTAATAAAACAATGGTTGAAAATCATTTCACATCCTCCAAACTGACCCTTTCTTAAAATATCTCAGCATTTTGTTCTAAGAAGTGACTTGTAGAAATAAAACTAAAAAACGATCTTCAGTCTTTTAAAAATGAATCAAAAGTCCAAGATTTGACTCATTCATGGTTGACATGGCCCAGCTAAGTGAATGACTCTTACAGCCAGGAGCCCGGGCAGCGCTTCCCAACAGCCACAGAGACACGTCACCTGTTTCCTGTAAGAGTACCACAATCTATGGTCAAGTACTGGGAGGTGGAGCGTTTGCACAGCCTGGTCACATGTGCTGTGCGACCCAAAGAGCATCTTCAGCCATGCTGACTCATCCCTCAGGAGCATTAACCTGTCACAGGCCTGAGAGACCCATCACATCCCTAAAATAAATACCTTCCTGGTTCTTCTCCATAGCACCAAGAACTCAAATACTCACCAGATTGGTGAAATAGTAGCCATCCTCGCCCGTCATCAGGCGGCTCGGATTGCAGAAGCGGGTGATGTACTGGATGTTGGACTGAAGGCGTGGAGGGTTGCCCTTCAGAACAATGTAGATGAGGGTGGGTAAGAAGTCATCCGCTGAAGCTGGCTCGTTCTTGGTGATCTTGATGGCATTGAAAATGTGCTTGCTGCACTTGGTGATGCAGGCCAACTTATCTCGAGGCACACGCTTCGAATCCATTTCAATGATATCTACAAAGCAGAAAAGACAATGCTTCCCATGAGAAAATAACCACATAAGAGAAGCAATAGGATAATAATTTTTTATCCATTAGGTTACAGAGGAACTCTCACTAACCACTTTCCCACTAGTTAACTTAGTACGAGAAAAACTGAGACTCCCAAAACAGTGAATGCCAGCTCATCCTCAGACACGTGGCCATGAGCCTTGCAAGCATATTTCTCTTCATCCTCAGATTATGCAATGGATACTATTATTACCCATTTCATAGATTTGAGGTTCATTAGAAAGTCTTAATTTGTATACTGCTTTTTAGAAAGGTGGCTACTACACAAAGCATCTTTGTATTGGATGTCGGAAAATAGCTACTGAATTCCCACACTTAGGTCTACAATGGACAATCCTCATGGCATGTAAATCTCCACTGGCTACCAACATCTACAGAATCTTTATTACACTTACAACTTGCTGATTAGCAGGGGGATACAGCAAGGTATAAATTTAATCTCAAAATAATATTTTATATCTCAGAGAAAAATTGTTTTGCTGCCCTTGACCATCACTTAAGTCCAACTAGAGGGCTCTCATAAATGCATACCCTTTGTCACAAAGACCAAGAGATAGTGAAGAATGGTTAAGTACGAACTGTCAGCACTGCTAGTACGACACAAGAGGAGGGAGTGTGCCTTTGGGTGTACATATCAGCTTGCAATCAGGAACATCGTGAAAGAAAATAGCCAAGGCAGCTTCATTTGACAGCAAATTCTTGCCACTAGCAGGAATAAAAGTTTCAGACTTGCAGATGGTGGTACGTGCCTAAGGGTTCTTTCCGCTCTTAGCTCCCCTCCCAGAGGTCAGCTACCTGGAGAACCCTCCCAAGACCACCTGCCATGGAAGACAACTGTGTGGGAGATGGATATTCCAGATGTGCAGAGGCCTTAGTTTAACTCGCTAATGCTGTCCCTCCTAGTTATGAGTCTGCTGTGTGAATTATATAACTTTTGCTTATTTTATTGTTTGGTTCCTTTAATCTTTTAATTCTGGGTTATAATTATTGTTACTATGTCTCAATCTGTTTATTTTTCTTTTTCTACTTAAATAGAACTTATTATAAAAAAAGAATTGGGTAAGATTTTTTTTAACCATTTTTACTACTTTCATCTATCCTATTTAGCCTGCTACCTTTTATTGTTGATTTTCATTCTCTATTTTAAACTTTTAACCACTTTCCCATTAGTCTTTATTATTAAAGTGAATTACTTTTTATCTGGATGTGTGTGTGGCTCCCGATACCCCAGGGCAAGGCTGGACGGTAAACAGGGAGAGAAAGGAAGGAAATGCAGAATAAAGGAAAGAAAAATCCCAGGATTTCCCCTACACTCTTTATCCTACAGAGGCCCGGCTTGCTAATATAGCCTGAAGGAAGTTTCCTGGAACTCTCAGACCTCCACTTTGATGTGTGGTCCTGTGACTAGCACTGCCCCAAAGTCTAAACTAGGAGATATAAGAGGAAAAAAAGCAAAAAAACAGGAAACTCACTGCTGTATTAGTTTTTCTTCCAGTAATAATTTCCCTCCCTAATCTGCCTGTTATTATTTACTTTTCAGAGCCCTAGATAACTGCCTTATGTCTTCTGTCCAGGGCTTTTACTTACAACCAGTAGTAAAGATGGGGTTGAGTGTGTGTACTCTATCCTAGCTGGATACAGAGGTGTAAGCTTATCTTTAACAGAGTTTTGAAAACAAAGCAGGCTTTACCTCTAAGTCATGGATTCTCAACATTGACACTACTGACATTTTGGGCTGGATCATTCTTTGGTGTAGGGGACTGTCCTGTGCATTCCAGGATGTTCACCAGCATCCCTGACCTCTCCCCACTAGATGTCAGTAGCACGCCCATAGATGTGACATTTAAAAATGTCTCCAGGCCAGCCACAATGACTCACACCTAAAATCCTAGCACTCTGGGAGGTCAGGCCTGGAGGACTGCTTGAGCTCAGGAGTGCAAGACCAGCCTGAGCAAGGGTGAGACCCTGTCTCTACCAAAAAGAAAGGACAAAAAACAGCTGGGTGTTGTGGTGTGTGCCTGTAGTCCCAGCTACCCCGGAGGCTGAGGCACAAGGATCCCTTGAGCCCAGGAATTTGAGATTGCTGTGAGCTACAATGATGCCCCTGCACTCTTCCCCAGGGCTACAGAGTGAGACTCTGTTTCAGAAAAAAAAAAAAAAAAGAGCAACTGAACAGCCCTCCTTATAACCCTCAACTCCTTCATATTTGAAAAAAATTTTTCCCTGGGGGACAACTAGTGCCTGGCTGAGAACCACTGCTCTAGGTAGATGGCTCGGGCAACCAGAAGAAATTTTGTGGGTGGAGCCAAATGAGAAAGGGAAACCTTAACCATTGACCACAGGCCTCCGGTACCTAAACTCTCAGAGCTAAGAGAAGCTAATGACAGAACTCTCTGATCCCCCGTTTCTTTTAGAAGTCCTCAAGAGTAGCCTCTTTCAACCTCAGGGCAGAGGCCTCAGTGATTCTCAAAATTTTATGCAGTTCTCTTCAATAGACCTCATGTTTACTGGTCAGCCTGGAAAATGAGTCCACTGCCCCATACTGTACAACTTGTCTGGTAGCATCTCCTATCTAGTCCCACCGTTTACTGAGCACAGCTACACTTCCCTGATCCATTGGGCTGCCAACATTCACTGCCCACCCACTCTCACCACCGACGGGCCACGCAAACACTTGCCATCAGCTGATGCCCCAGCAAATTGTGCCCTGCACAGGCCAGAGTCCAGACAGCCCGGAGACTTCCCTATTACCAAGAACTGGCCGTAAAAGCTATCTTGGCTGGAAGAAAATTAGTTTTTTAGACTCAAGTTTGGTGGCTTCTAGATCTGGTAGCTTCCTTGGGAAAGGTCTTCCAATAAGTAAGATTCTTCTCCTTGTCATGACTAAAAAGTAAACTTTATTGTTTTAGCATCTCTCAAAGATTTTTAAGATCATATTTGTAGAACTATGATTTGAAAAATATATTTTTCCTATTTCAAGGAACACCTCGGGGTCTCTGTGTTTCAACAGCCCATCAGGAATGAAAATCCTTCAGGGACAGGCACTGCCCTTTAAAAAATATATTTAAAAAAAAAAGAAAAACATATTTTTCTATATTCACAGTTTTAGATTTTCTTTGCTCTGGTATCAGAGAAAAAACACAGGGGTAGACTGGCCATTTGTCTGTTGACTTCAGGGGTCTCCCTCCCTCCTCCAGCAGGAATTTGTTTCTTCAGGTTTTGACTCCGGCCTGTGTATGCGACATATGATCTGCTTTGATCCATGTGGCCATGTCCTCCAGCTTGCTCTGTGTCAGCTTAAATGTCTCAAAATCCTTATTCATTTTATGTCTGCCATAATAGAGATGATCATTTATGAAACCCTAAATGCCAAGACTGGGGCCCTTCTTGGAACCAAGAGGAAACAGGATAACTCTTTTCCTGCAGGTCTTTCCTCTAGAATAGATCTGTCAACTGAAACAGAAATGCCTCTTTCAGTACATTCATAAACAAAAGTGATAGTGCTGATTAGTAGCACAGGGGATGATGTGGAAATACTGAACTGACAGCTTCACATTTAAGACCACTGCTATAGGCGAGTGTCTTCTCTCATTACTCTTGTACTTAGGCTGACACTTTTAGATCAGGAAGAAAGTGATCATGTAACCGGCACTCCAGATGTGTCTATGCTTTGACTGACAAGACCTGGGGGCTAAGATGGGGCGGAGAGAGTAAGAAGGCTTTTAAAATTTTGTCACTGGCCGGGCACGGTGGCTCACGCCTGTAATCCTAGCACTCTGAGAGACTGAGGTGGGCAGATCGTTTGAGCTCAGGAGTTTGAGACCAGCCTGTGCAAGAGCGAGACCCCATCTTTACTAAAAAAATAGAAAGAAATTAGCTGGACAA